CTGCTCAAAAACGTCTCACTCGCACATGTTTATATTGAAAATATCCAATAACATGTAAACAAATATATCGACAATAAATTCGGAGCAATAGTTCATTAATAACATCTTCAACCAATAACTAAAGTTAAATTGACCGTTTATTTATGATATTTTCACTCAATAATAAAAATTAGCCTACTGAACTAAATGAACTAAACGAACTAATCTTTTGTACTATTCACTTTGCTGACCGAGATTGAAAGATGGAAATCAGCAAGGTGAACTAAACTTCCCAGGTCTATTCAACACAGGCAAATTTTTATGTCTCAAGGGTGTCAACACCATTTAGCCAACAAAATAGCTAATTGATTCTCGATTCTATCATGTGCATAATTTTATAAAAATAACTCTCACTATACAGGGTAATTGAAAAAACAAAAAATTACCACTTTCAGTTGCTTCGTTTTCCAAATGAGTTCACAACAAAATGGTATACATATCTGTATATCACTACGTAAGTACACTTACATGAGTTTTATTTATCTATGTCTATCCATAAATTTTTTACAGCACCATGCACATTATAAAAGTTATCCCATAATTCCAGTTACTCCTTAATAAATGTTAGTGTTTGAGAATAAAGCAAAGGCTTAAGGAAAAAGTGTGCATAGACGATAGAACGGTTAAGATATAGCCTCTTTTAACTATTAGGTAACACGGAGCGCGACTCAGACATAAGTTCAGCAATCAGTTACAAAAACTTTCACTTTCTTCGGCCATTTTCACTTTATAAGAAGCATCAATTAGCATGTAATAAAAAACACACTCCGCCGTTTTTAAATTGGTTCGTTCACTTATTATGCAGACAGTTTAACTTCTCTCTTAAAAGTCTCCTCAAGGAAGCTAAACTTAATGAATTTTCAATTTGCTATGCATACAATTTAAGTTTTGAAAAACACCGTTTGTGACCGCTTTGCTACCGCTTTGCTAGCAATGTCTGCCTTGATTCGCGAATGCCCCTTTAATTTAATTACAATATTTATACAAACGTAAATTTTCCAAAAATAAAAAAGGGAATTCAGTTTTGCTTTTATTTATAACATCCATTGCATTAGTTTTAATTTTCCATATCTTTGAGAAAAAAACAGAGAAAGATTATTATTTCTTGAATTGACTATATTGAGCTTTATAAACAAGTTCTAGCAACCCCGAAATAAAACTCCAATTTTGAACAACGTCGCATATCTGAAGTTGTTCAAAGAAGGCTTTGAATATCTGAAGTTGATTCAACATTATCAAAAGAGTTAGGTTTTTACGGCCATTGCTTGAAATAGCTGAGTACATATTTGGACTCTGAGGCCTTTATAGAAAATGTGTGCGTCTTCATAGGTAAAAATCGGTCCAGTTTAAGCTTTTAAACAAAAACACAAGGTGGAAGCTACACTGCTACCAGAAACAATTGGCAGGATATAGCAAGAAAAAGCCATGTTTGTTCTCTACACACCACAGGAATTATTAGGACAATTTGTTGAACTCCCATTTCATTTAGATAAACACAGTGTACTAATGTGGAAAAACATATTGGAAAAACTGCTAGTATAAATCAATATTCATCAATTATGTAGTAATTTTATGTAAAATCTTCAAATTTTTATACTGTTCTTTCGCTCCTAAATTCGATCGATTTTTTTCCTTTAAAATAATTTAGGTGAACTAACTCATAGAAATTTCCTGTATACCAATTGCTTGAACATTATCGATATAAGTAATAGGACAGCGTAAAAATAATTTCCTGGTGGAATTCCGGCGGAATTCTATCTAACTGGCCGTTATGATTGGATACTAAATAAATTATGGAGTTGTTATAATCAATACGTGTATGTACCTTTACCTACCTACCTACGCCTCCTTATGTTTTACTGGAATAACCGCCAGGATCGACTGGATGCGGATTATTCCGGGAGCAAGATAAACTTAATAACCGACTCAGCTCAGTGCATCTTTTACAAAACATTTAATGTTCACGTTAAATGAACATTAGTTACATGAATCGCGTTGTTATTGAAAGTGGAAAGTAGGTCATTATTAGTAGGAATTGCTAATAGTATCTCCATTATAACAAACCAACTTTTTTACCTCGCCTATTGAAAGAAAGCATGCAGGTTGGTGACTGGTGCTGAAACAGCTGTTAAATCTTCATCTAAAAGCCATTTAGTAGTAAATTATTTAAATTCACTTTTAATGGCACTATTAATTAGTTATTGAAATTTATTTTAGACGATTCGGAAATTTCCGCTGCTGAATTAATGTAGTTATAGTTAATGTATTCTTTAAACATGTATTCTTAAGACGCTTTGCTTAATTTCCTATATTTGTCAGTCTGACCGTCTCCATTATATAGAGCGGTTGAACAAAAATGGAACGGTTATTAAATGCGAACCATAAGGTGTTACTGTACTCTCACTTTTGAGGCAATCTCCTAATTGAAAACTTATGAAAAGGATGCTGTTGCCTAATTTGATTTTTCTTTTATTGAAAAGCTCTTTATGAAAGCCTACAACATTGTAATGGCGATAATTTTTGAACACCGCATATATGGCAAAATATTGAAAATAGCGAAAATTTCGTCGGTCTCCAAAAAAGTGACGAATTTGATATGTAGATTACTTTTTCGATCAAGTTTTTCCTCGTAACGTTGATTCAGAAACACGGTAGTCAGTGTGCAAATATTTGATGATTTTATATTAACGCAGTTGTACTTTGGCAGCCTTTTTAAATACCTTCAGATCTGGCACTGATTCAAAAATGATGACCTACATTTGGACAAGGATATTTATTGAAATAAACCTATATAACATCAATACTATCTGCTATTCTGCAGGTATGTAAGAAACAGTTGCAATTAGTTTTTTTAAAGCTACGCATAACGGCCTTCATATATTTAATAGTAGCATCTCTCGTGTTATTTTAAGCAGCACATTTCTTAATAGATTATATATTCCATCTTTTATCGTTATCGTTATTTAATATTATTCAAAAGTGTGTTTGACCGTTCATGGTTTTAATATTTTATATTTGGTGTCCAAAGTCACTATTAATTAGATAGTAGAAGACGATCAAAGTTAGGAAAATTTGCATGTTTCTTTAAAAACGCATCATAGCAGGTAAGCTCACAAAACTTGAAAACAATGACAATTGAGAGTTAAGAACTGTTTTATAACTGTTCTATTCTTCTTTTTTTGAACCGGATATAGACAAGATATTCATTGCGCAAAATTTCACGTTTTCCTTAAAATTATCTTGTTATTACATTTAGTAAATTTCTCCAATACGACGCGCAGACTTCTGTATATGCATTTGGTAAACAACATAGATACTATAACTATAATATACAGGGTGATTCAAAATTGGCGTCATTCCTTTTAAGGGGTGATAGAGGCTCCCTTGGGGAGTACGAGAAAAATATTGAAATTTTTTTTTTCGAAAATTTCTAGAAGATATTAACAATTGAAGATCGAATTTTAACTTTGTTATTAAGCATTAGTTTGAAATGGTTCCATGTTTAATTGGTAGCATATTGGAATACTTAAGCATTCAATAAGAAAAATTACGATCTTTCCTTCAAATTACGAAAATTTTTGATATCAAAAAAGTTCTCTTCTACAATTTTTTGATGAAAAGGTACAGCGTCAATGATGTTTTTTGTCATTAACAGATAGTTACTGGTGGATAGCCCTTGTCATTCATAACAATAATTTGCCAAACTGTGACTTACTTTGAATTTCCTTTCACGAATTTGCGGATATGCGATTAGTTCAGGGGAAATGCTACAGTAAGATAGCAGAACCTGAAAGA